TAGTCCCTACCCTCCAGATTCAGGGCAGAGGTAACACCACACTTGCTCTCTGGACTCAGTTCCTCCAGCCTTCTCCTGCCTTTGCTGCCCATGAGCTGGTCCTCCTTTTCTCTCTCTCTTCCTCTCTCCTTCCCCCCCCTCTCGTTTTATCAGTAATGGGGCTTGAACTCAGGACCAGCTCAGGAGCTGGCACTCTACCACTTTGACCCACAGCTCCACTTCTGGTTTTGTGGTGGTTAACTGGAGATAAGAGTCTCATAAACTTTCCTGCATGGATTGGCTTTGACCCATGATCCTCAGATCTTACCCTCCTGAGTAGCTAGGATTGCAGCAATGAGTCACCAGCACCAGTCTTCCCCCAAACCTCCCTGCCCCCTCCCAACCCGGCCTTTTCTTAAACCTCATCTGCATACTCCTTTGCCCTCAGAATACCCATGTTTCTGCCATCTACACAGAGGCATTTCCTACAAAGTAGAATCTTTTTTTATTTTTATTTTTTGCCAGTCCTGGGGCTTGAACTCAGGGCCAATGCACTGTCCCTGAACATCTTTTGGTCAAGGGCACTTTACCACTTAAGCCACAGCACTACTTCTGGCTTTTTCTGTTTATGTGGTACTGAGGAATCAAACCCAGGGCTTCATGCATGCTAGGCAAGCACTCTACCACTGAGCCACATTCCCAGCCCAATGTAGAATCTTCTAGATCGTGACCCCTTGCTTTCTCCTCCCTTTGTCACATATTTCTTTTCTCTGTGTAGTGGTTATTTTTTCCTTCTAATTTTTATTTAGTTTATGTGTTACCAAGGAATCGAACCCAGGGCCTCATGTATGCTAGGTAAGCACTGTGCCACAAAGCCACATTTCCAGCCCTTGCACACTTTTTTTTTTAATTGTGAAAATACCATACAGAGGGATTACAATTACATGGGCAAAGTAATAAGTATATTTTCTTATCAAGCATTGTTACCTCCTCCTTTCTTTCCCCTTCCCATCTCTTCCTCACTCCCCCCCCCCCCACCCTCCGCCAAAGTTGTAAAGTTCATTTTTCGACATAACATCTTGTACATCTCATTGTTGCAATGGGTGCACCTGTATCCCTTCCCTTTCACAAATTATTTCAACATCAAATACAGTGAAAACAGGGGTTATACTGGAGGGGAGGGGGACATACAAAGCAACAAAGAAGTCATCTTATAAATATGTTAGAAACAACTGCAAGAAAAAAAAAACATTTGAATCCTTATCTTGGGATTCATTTCGCCAGCATCAACTTATCTGACCTTTTCTGCTTGACTCAGACATACACTAGTTATTGCAAATAAGGGAAACCATGGGACCTATGTTTCTTTGGGCCTGGCTTATTTCACTTAATAAATTTTTCCAAGCCAGGCGCTGGTGGCTCACGCCTGTAATCCTAGCTACTCAGGAGGCTGAGCTCTGAGGATCGCGGTTCAAAGCCAGCCCGGGCAGGAGAGACTGTGAGACTCCTATCTCCAATAAACCACCAGAAAACCGGAAGTGGCGCTGTAGCTCAAGTGGTAGAGCGCCCGCCTTGAGCTGAAGAGCTGAGGGACAGCACCCAGGCCCAGAGTTCAAGCCCCACGACCAACAAAAAAAAAAAAAAGAACTTAAAAAAAATAAATTTTTCCAAGTCTTTCCATTTCCTAACAAATGGGGCAATGTCATTCGTTCTGATGGAGGCATAGAATTTCATTTTATATATATAGATATATCTATATATATATCTCATTTTCTTGATCTATTCATCTACTGAGGGGCATCTGGCTTGGGTCCATATCTTAGCTATGGTAAATAATGCTTGATAAACATAGTTGTGCTGATAGCTTTAGTATGGTCTTGTTTGTGATCATTTGGGTAAATGCCCAAAAGTGGGATTGCTGGGTCATAGGGGAGCTCTATGTGGAGTATTTTGAGGAACCTCTATACTACTTTCCAAAGTGGTTGAGCAAGTTTACACTCCCACCAACAATGCAGTAAGGTTCCCTTCTGTCCACATCCCCTCCAGCATCTGTTGTTATTAGAGTTCTTGATTATAGCCATTCTAACTGCAGCCCTTGCATACTTCTAAGGAGCTGTCCTACCTGGCTCAGCTGTCTCTGTTTCCGCTGCCTCCCACACCTGAGTACAGGTACTGATGAGTCCACCCTGACATTAGAGCCCACGGCTCCTCTTGCTTGAACCCTTAGCTATTTTTATCCTGTTGGCCATTCTTCGTCTTGAAATATTATCTTTTTTTACTTTTAACTAATGTAGTAAATGAATGTCTTATCAATTCATTCAGGGAGAGGAGAAAAAGCAGAAACATTCAGAGCTGACAGGAGGGCTTGTACTTTTAGAGGTGTGGTGGCCAAGCAGTGGTAGACTTATTATCAACTTTATCAAGCTGTTAATCTTCTGGGGGTGGAGGTAGAAAGTATAGTAAGAGTAAATTCCACTGTGGGTCCCTGTAGGATTTTCTCTCTTGGGGTCTAAGAAGAGAATTCAAGTCACTTGGGTCTCCCTCAGTATTCACCAACCAATGAAGCTTTCATTGATTTTGGCAAGACCAAAAAGCAAGCCAGGCACAGTGGCTCATGCCTGTAATCCTAGGTACTCAAGAGGCTGAGATCTGAGGATCGCAGTTCAAAGCCAGCCCGGGCAGGAAAGTTCAAGAGACTCTTATCTCCAAATAGCCACTTAAAAACAAGAAATGGGGGCTGGGAAGATGGCTCAGTGGTAGAGCGCTTGCCTTGCATGCATGAGGCCCTGGGTTTGATTCCTCAGCACCACATAAGCAGAAGGAAAAAAAAAGCCGGAAGTGGTGCTATGGCTCAAGTGGTAGAGTGCTAGCCTTGAGCTGAAGAGCTGAGGGACAGCGCCCAGGCCCAGAGTTCAGGCCCCATGACTGGACCCCAAAAAACTGGAAATGGAGGTGTGGCTCAAGTGGCAAAGCACTTAGCCTTGAGCAAAAGAGCTCAGGGACAGCACTCAGGCTCTTAGTTCAAGCCTCACAACTTACAAAACAAACTGACAAACAAAAACAAAGTATAATTAAAATAATATTAAATTTTAATTTTCCTGTTTATAAAGTACCACTTGGTGCTTGATTAATATGCTGGTTATTGGCTGTTTTGATTGTTGCTAATTCTTGAGTACTATGTCCCCAGTCAGACTAGAAGTACTTAATAGGAATTCTCAATCTAATTGTCTCTGTTGCTCAGCAAAGGGCTGTTTAAAAACCAATCCTGTTGTTTAACAATCATTTTAACTTCCCAAGTTTCAACAAACTATGAATGATTTCCTAAATACAATGCAATGTTATGCAAGTGTGGAAGTGTAATAGAGAAATATTTTATGAACTGGAGAAGGCAAGCTGAAATACCTAGGATTTTACACAATATGAAATGACCACAAACTCTCTCCAGTGTTTGTACCAATCTAGATTAAAAAAAAAAAACCAACAATTAAAAAAAAAAATCTAATGCCAGGCACTGTGGCTTCTGCCTGTAATCATAGCTATTCAGAAAGCTGAGATCTGAAGATGGTGGTTTGAAGCCAGCCCAGGCAGGACAGTTTGTAAGACTCTTATCTCTAATTAACCACCATGAGAGCCAGAAGTGGAGCTGTAGCTCAAGCTTTGGAGTGCTAGCTTTGAGCAGAAAAGCTCAGGGACAACACCCAGGCCCTGAGTTCAAGTCCTAGGATGGGCTAACCAAAACCCAAATCTCAGGCAACCCTTGGAGTTTGTTTTGAGTTCTTATAAATTCTTCTCTTTATTTCCTTAGGTCAAACATGCCCAATGCTCTTGTCTGTGGATAGCAAACTAGTCCCCTGGTATCTTGAATCAGACCTTATTCCACTCAGGCAAGTAATCTGAAAAGAAAAAAAAATCACATAGTGATCAACTAGTCCAGCACATTTTTCTCCTGGGTGGTTTTTCCATCAACTAGAAAAGATGCAACCTTTGATATTCTCTCTCTCTCTCTTTTTCTCTGCTTGAATTCAAGGCCTGGGCCCTGTACCTGGGTGCTCTACCACTTGATCCACAGCTCCACTCCTGGCTTTTTGCTGGTTAATTGGAGATAGGCGTCAGGTTTGTCTGACCAGGCTGATGTGAACCGCGATCTTCGGATCTCAGCCTCCTGAGTAGCTAGCTAGGATCACAGGCATGAGCCATGGCCACTGGGCTTAATGCTCTTGTTTAAAGAGTTACCCTAAGTTAGAGAACTCTTCACCTTTCTTAGTTTTACAGTTTACAGCCAGACTGGAGCATCAGGCCAGAATATCACTTAAAAAAAAAAAAAAAGCAGCTAGACTATGAATGCAGGAGTTGAACGAAGAATTCGAAACAGATTTACCATAATGTAATTCCCAGGTCACTGCAATTTGCGTCTGAAAGCCGAGTGGCCGTATATAAATGAACCTACAAAGGCCACAGAATCCAGACTCGCCCCTTCCTCTAAATAATGATTGACAGGCCGAATCCTTCCAGCCTCCAGCACCACGGCGCAACTCTCTCAGGGGTCTGAAGCGCCTAGGGTTTAGGGAAAACTGGCCTAGGGACGCCCCAAGTTACCTTGAAAGCCGGAAGAGAAAGGAGTTAACCTGATGCAGGTTGGAGCAACTCAGAGGCAGCGCGAGGCCGCGTCACTCACCCCGGGGAAGGAGGAGCTGGCGCCGGGACTGAGCACGGAAAGGAAAAAGGTGAACCTGAGCAACCAGACGAGGCAGGAGCCCCATCCTCCCCCGCCCCCTGCCCTCCGCCCGGGCCGGTTCACCTCTGAAGGGGTGGGGCGGGGTTCCGAGTTTCCCCCGCAGGGGGCGGAGTTAACTCTGATCCCCAGGCCGTGGCGGAACTGCCGCTTCCCGGGACGGTTCCGAGATCCAGGAACCCGAGACTCACCTGCGCCTGGGGAAGGGGGCGGAGCCAGAGGGGGAAAAAAACACGCACCTGAGCTAGCTGGAAGTCGGCCTCGAGCGTAGCCCTCGGGTTGACCCTGGGCAGCGAAAGGGGCCGCTCCTCGGCCGGTCCCCCCCCGGGCGATCTCGGGTGGGTGGGTGGGCGCGGCGCGTCCCGCGTGGCCACCATGACCTGGAGCGCCGCGGCGCGGGGCGCGCACCAGCCCGACAACACCGCCTTCACCCAGCAGCGCCTCCCGGCCTGGCAGCCGCTGCTGTCGGCCGGCATCACGCTGCCGCTCTTCTTCTGCGCCGGCCTGGCGTTCATCGGCCTGGGCCTGGGTCTCTACTACTCCTCCAACGGCATCAAGGAGCTCGAGTACGACTACACGGGCAACCCGGGCACCGGCAACTGCTCGGTGTGCGCCGCCCTCGGGGAGGGCCGCGCGCCGCCGCCCAAGTGTTCGTGCGCCTGGTACTTCTCGCTGCCCGAGCTCTTCCCGGGCCCCGTGTACCTGTACTACGAGCTGTCCAACTTCTACCAGAACAACCGGCGCTACGGGGTGTCCCGCGACGACGCGCAGCTCAGCGGGCTGCAGAGCGCGCTGCGCCACCCGGCCAACGAGTGCGCCCCGTACCAGTTCAGCGCCGCGGGCCTGCCCATCGCGCCCTGCGGCGCCATCGCCAACAGCCTCTTCAACGACACCTTCTCGCTCTGGCACCAGCGCCGGCCCGGCGGGCCCTACGAGGAGGTGCAGCTGGATCGCACCGCCATCGCCTGGTGGACCGATTACCACGTCAAGTTCCGTAACCCGCCGCTGGTCAACGGCAGCCTGGCGCTGGCTTTCCGCGGCACGGCGCCCCCGCCCAATTGGCACCGGCCGGTCTACGAGCTCAGCCCCGACCCCAACAACACCGGCTTCATCAATCAGGACTTCGTGGTGTGGATGCGCACCGCCGCGCTGCCCACCTTCCGCAAGCTGTACGCGCGCATCCGCCAGGGCGACTACACCGCCGGGCTGCCCCGGGGCGCCTACCGCGTCAACATCTCCTACAACTACCCGGTCCGCGCCTTCGACGGCCACAAGCTCATCATCTTCAGCAACATCTCGTGGATGGGGGGCAAGAATCCGTTCCTGGGGATCGCCTACCTGGTGGTCGGCTCGCTCTGCATCCTCGTGGGCTTTGTCATGCTGGTCGTCTACATCCGCTACCAGGATCAGAACGACGACGACGACGACGAATGAGGCCCGCTATCCGAGGCCCCCTTCCCGCCCCTTACCCAACAGCTGCGTTGGGCGCCTCCCTCTCCCCCCTTGTTCAGTTTCAAGCTCACATGACTTCGACTCCTGCTACGGACCAGGGGCTCAGAGAACAGAATTGCCCGTTTTCTGCCTGTCTACTGTCCTGACGGGGCGTTTGAACTTGAGCGGAATGGGCTTGCACGTTCTCTTCCCGCTTCACGTCTGAGTTGACCAGTCAGGGCCTCAAGGTCTGTAGCATTCCAGAGCCAAAAGGAAGGAAGGGATTCTTAGTCAACACCTACCAGAGGGAGGAACAGAGAGACCTAGTGATGTGAAATGGATCATTCGAGAGCAGGGAGCCAGAATTTGTCCTCTTGTTCTGATCCAGTGCTTTTGCTAGACAGCATGAAGTTTTTTTTTTTCTTCTTCTTCTTCTTTTTGTTGTTGTTTTGGTGGGGGGAGAGGGTGAGAAAGGCCTGCAGGTAATTGGCAGAGGCGGGGAAGTGGGCTAGATTAGGAGGTACCAGCCCTACAGGGGTTGATCCAGTAAAGCTTGAGTGAGCGTAAGCAGTCTAACAAACTTATCTGGAAATTCTCCCCTAGAAGTTGGGGATCTTCACCTTGACACAGGCTGAGCCTAAGCAGTCGCCTGAGTTCAAAGTTTCAGGAGTGGTTTGTTTCCAGGAGCAGGGATCATCACAGAGTTCAGGTTCTGTCTAGCACTCTGCCTTAAACATAGCGAGCTCTGTCTGTGGAATGAATGACTATGCTAGGATTTGCAGTGCTGGATTCCCGTCCACTCATTCTATGTTTGGGCAAACTTTGCCAGATACTATGTAAAAATCTGAAAATGCTAGGCCAGTTTGCATAGCTAAGAGGGTATGTTTTAACCTCAGAATACAGAAGCTGTGTGTGAACTTGGAGGGAAAGTTGTTAACCTAAAGCCACCTGTGTCTCCTCACCTCCCTCGATTCTCTTTGGTGTCTGAAATCTAAGAGAATTAATTTATGTTATCAGATCAAACATTTGTTTCTAGTTTGCATGTATGCTGAGGAATATAGTCATCTGTGAACTAGAATTTTAGGATTATTTCGGATAATGTTAAAATCATTCCGTTGATTTTACTGATAGATGAGAATCAATATAAAGTTATCCTAAGAAGCAATGGAATATATTTTTAAAATATTCTTTATGTTACAATAATTTAAAAGAATGTAAACATAAAATCCTTAGTGATATTCTCCTGTCAGTTGTTTTGAGAGCACTTATTTGATGTTTGCCAGAATTCTCCTGCTAATTATTACTGTTACAACTAGCTGCTTGCTAGTTGCTGCTCTTCCTACTTTCTCATTTCTTAAGGCAGTACAAGGTCTTGAACTATGTCTTTTTTTTTTTTTTAGTAGTCAAGTATTGAACAGTTTACATTGATTTCGTGATACCTTCCTCTAGTTCTTTGATAAATACTGATGATTGGACAGCATGCAACTCATTGATGCCTGTCTTGGATCTCCTGCATGAATAATAATTTAAGAGTCTGTTTCAATGAACTAAGCAACTCAAAGACAGCTATAGGAGGGGAGGAATGAGAGGGAAAGAGGGAACAGCTTACACTAAGCAAAAGGAAAGAAATGTAACTATCACCTGATATGGAAGAAATAATTGTATTGTCAAAGCTCATAGAATTCACAGACTTTATAGATCATGATAATGACAATTTGCCTTGTGAAGGTTAAAATGTGTTTGTGAACTTAATTAAGTATCACTATTCCACAATACTGTGGAATATGTGAAATTTATGTAATGACCTAATCTCAATTAAAAAAAGTGTTTCATTTCCACATATACGAAATAACTTTAGTCATTTCAATGTGTAGGCTTCCCAACTCCTGAACATGATAAATTTTATTGTTCAATTAAGTATTATGGTCTACCACTATGAAAATCTGATCATTGCATGTACTTTGATCATATTTGTGATGAATGTTTGATCAGGCAGCTCACTAGCCCAGCCCTATTATTTTCACCATATAGTTGAAAGCACCTATGTGTTATGCTAGCAGTTATAGAATAGCAGTCTATTATTATAAAATGCTAAACAAGGCTATTCTAATGAGATTATCTGATTAAATGAATGAATGTACTTCCAGATGCTATTTTCTGGGTTCGTAAAAGAGAATAAAGGTTATATTTGCCTTACCTTTCTTACTGTGTTTACTTCTCTTGAACTATGATCTTAAAGGCACAGACAGTACCAACCATTCCCCTCACAGGAATAGCAGCCAGAAAACCATCTTTTACAATAATACTTAAAGAGAGTCAAGTCTCTCATTGTTAACTTCCTGTAACATTATGAACTTAAGTCAATATATTTATGAATTAAATTTTTTTCAAAGTATTGTTTGCATTTGAAAAATGTAGCTCATATTTTGAAATTTTGAATGCTAAAAATTATTAAAGCTAGCGATACCTCAGACAAGGGCCTCATATCTAAAATATACTTAGATGACATTGTCCCACTCATTGGGAAATGGAAAGACCTAGAAAAAATTATATTAATGAAAGCTGGGCGCCAGTGGCTCATGCCTGTAATCGTAGCTATTCAGGAGGCTGAGATCTGAGGATTGTGGTTCAAAGCCAGCCCAGGCAGGAACCTCTGTGAGACTTTTATCTCCAATAAACCACTCAGAAAACCAGAAGTGATGCTGTGGCTCAAGTGGTAGAGCGATTGCCTTGAGCTGAAGAGCTGAGGAACAGTGCCCAGGCCCAGAGTTCAAGCCCCACGACCGACAAAACAACAACAAAAATTATATTAATCAAAGTAAGCCAGGCCCCAAAAAAGTAGGTTGCATGGTTTCCCTTATTTGTATTAACTAGAATATGTCTGTGATATTCTTAGTAGGAGATCTCAATAGCCTAATTGCTAAGTGAATGGGACCATATATAATGAAGCACATCAATATGAACTGCAAGAATTGGAAACTGCAAGAATTGGAAACACCCGTATGCAGTTATTTCTTTTTTCTGTTTTAGCTTTCTGTACCCTTTGTCTTGTATATAAGTTTATCAGATCCATGAAAGGGAAAGGGAAACACAGAAATAGCAGAACAAAGGATGGACTAATGCAACAATGATACTCACTTGACACTATATTGGAAATGAACTATACAAATTGGTGGGGGAGGGGAGTAAGGAGGGGTAACCAGGAGAAAATGAGAGGGTTTCAGTGTTTAAAGAGAAATGTATGAGGGCTGGGAATGTGGCTTAGTGGTAGAGTGCTTGCCTAGCATGCATGAAGCCCTGGGTTTGATTCCTCAGTACACATACACAGAAAAAGCTGGAAGTGGAGCTGTCGCTCAAGTGGTAGAGTGCTAGGCTTGAGCTAAAGAAGCTCAGCGACAGTACTTGGCCCTGAGTTCAAGCCCCAGGACTGACAAAAAAATAAAAATAAAAAAAGAAATGTATGCACTACCTTACTTATGTAGCTGTAACCCTCTCTGTTCATCAACATTACAATAAAGATATTAATTATACACATATATGTGTGTATATATATACATACATATATACTTAGAGCTCAAAAAATTAAACCCCACTAAAACAAGTCCTCAAGAAAACAACCCCATTAATGGGCTATAGACTTGAGGAGAGATCTCCCTGAAGAATAAGTAAGAATGGACAATAGACACATGAAAAAAAGTTCAACATTTCTGGTCATAAAAGAAATGCAAATCATAACAAAATTGAGAGTCCATCTCACTCCAGTTAAAATGACCATTATCAAGAAAACTGGCAGGGATGCTGGTGGGGATGTGGCAAAAGAAAATGCTACTCCACTGTGGGTGGGAATTTAAACTTGTTCAACTGCTCCAGAAAGCAGCATGGAGGTTCCTTAAAAGACTATAAATAGAGCTTCCCTATGACCCAGCAATCCCACTCCTGGGCAAATGACCACAAACAAGGCCACATGAAAGCTACCAGCACAACCATGATCATTGCATCATTATTTATCATAGTTAAGATATGGAATCAACCCAGGTGCCCCTCAGTAGATGGATGGATCAAGAAAGTGTGATACACACACACACACACACACACACACACACACACACACACAATGGAATTCTATCCATTAGAAAGAATGACATTGCCCCATTCATAAGGAAATGGAAAGACTTAGAAAAAATTCCATTAAGCAAAGCAAGTCAGACCCAAAGAAACATAGGCTGCATGTTTTCCCTCATTTGTAATAACTAGACTATGTCTAGGATATTTTTAGCAGAGGATCACAATAGCTCAATAGCTATGCACATATGACTATATAAGTAATGCTTATTGAAATGAACTCCAAGAAATGGAAATAAGAGGGGTGTGTGTGTGTGTGTGTGTGTGTGTGTGTGTGTGTGTGTGTGTGTGTGTGTGTGTTGTGCTTGCATTTCTTTCTCTTTTTTTTTCTTTGTTTGGTTTATTTCCTGTTGTCACTATTTTTTATTTCTGTACCCTTTGTCTTATATATAAGTTTATCAGATTTGGGGAAGAGAAGAGTATCACAGAAACAGTGGGACAAAGGGAGAATCAATGCAACAGTGACACACACCAGACATTATGTTAGAAATGAACTTTACAACTTGGCGGAGGGAGGGTTGAGAGGAGTCAGGGGAGATGGGTGGAAATGAGGGAGGGGATAACACTGTTCAAAAATAAATGTACTCATAACCTTACTTATGTAACTGCCCCCTCAGTAGATTACCTTTACGATAAAAATTTTAACAAGTTATTAAAATATTGCAATTATCACAACTTTGTCTCTGTATTGGACTCAAGGTGTAAACTATAATTCTTAGCTGGGTGTTTGGGACTGTAAAGCAATAGAAAGTTTAATAATAAAAATGTGAGGCATTTTCCTGCCATGACTCCAGTGCTGCATAGCATTTTATCTTCTATCTTAGGGTTCTAGCTGGGATAAGTTTTCATGCTGTCTAGTCCGTGTTCCCTAGCTAGAGGTGTGTCCTCTAAGAATATTGGAAGAGAGCAAGCCTCAACAGTTGAGCTGAAAATGAGCTTTGACCTGTCTTGTGAAATAAAGGCCCACACAAAAGAGAATGTGAAGTGAAGCTAGCAATGGTAGCTACTCAAGAGGATGAGATCTGAGGGTGGCAGCTTGAAGCCAGCCTGGGCAGGAAAATCCATAAGACTCTCACCGTCAATTAACCACCCCCTAAACAAAAAGCCAGAAGTGGAGTTGTGCTCAAGTAGAGCACTAGCCTTAAGCATAAAGCTCAGGGGCAGCACCCTGAGTTCAAGTCCCAAGATCAGCACACACACACACACACACACACACACACACACACACACACACACACACAGAGGAAACAAAGCAAACAGAAGAGGAAAGGAAGAGAGAGACATACACTCTGGAATTGTTAAAACTCAAAGATAGAATGAGAGATTGCACTTCCCTTTGGAGCAAATAATTGCTAATATATAGCTACAACCATCTCAACTTCACTTTCAAACTATGGTCCCTTCTGTCATTAGAGCTCTCAACTTCTTGGGTAAATTCTCGAAAGTTGTTGGTAGAATCACAATATCACCAATTGATGCTTTATTTATCTTTGAACACAAATCCTGTTATTAAAATAAAAGTAAATCTTCTCTTCCTTTATTAGTATTAGACATTTGTTTTCATTCTAGTTCTTTTTCTTTACATAATAGAACTGGCTAATTAGCAACTTAAAAAATATATTTTGTCCCAAAGGAATTTCTCTTCATTCCCTCTGGCAAAAACAATCATTTAAGGGGTCATTAAATAGGCCCTGGCAAATCTGAGACACATTAAGGTCCCAATGAGATCACACATGAAAGCAGTACCTTGTATAGACTTGCAACTTTTGTCTAACCATTTTCTAATTGTTGAGTCTATGTGTACAGACATCCTCCATAATTTTCTTGGTAAGAATTACAATGTGCATTCAGAAGAAAGAAAAAACCCACAAAACACTTACCCCAGCTTTGCTACCTTGTGTTAGGTCTGCCACTGGTGGTCTTCATAGGATGAGATCACTGGAGCATGCCAGGACTTCTTTAACAGACCTGGCTGGTGAGGCTCACATAGAACAGAAGAAACAAATTCCAGCATAAACTCTTCAGGAGTAACAGAAGGGAGGGGGAATGAAAGAGAAAGTTGGGCCAGTGACACTGGCTCACTCCTGAAATCCAATCTCAGGATTGCAGTTCAAAGCCAGCCTAGGCAGGAATGTCTGTGAGACTTTTATTTCCAATTAACCACCAAAAGGCAAGAAATAGAACTGTGGCTCAAGTGGTACAACACCAGCTCTAAGAAAAAAGAAAGCTCAGGGATAGCGCCCAGGCCCTAGGTTCAAGTCCCAGGACAGGCACTTAAAAATTAATAGTAAGGGAAACATGGAAAAGGAATTTTCCTGGGTCAGCAGGGTACCCCAAAGGCAGGAGATCTGTAACAAAGGAAGTATACAGCCCAGGCCAAGGCTCAGCAGCAGCACCGGGGAGACAAGGCCTTAGGAAAG